GGGTGTTCCAGGCTCAGTGTGCAGAAATACACAAAAATGGGAGGCTGGGTCTTCAGGGAAGTTTTTAATATTTAATGCTGTATTGTTTTTAACACTTGATTGGGAGCTGCCCAGAGTGGCTGGGGAAACTCAGCCAGGTGGGCGGGGTATAAATTATTATTATTAATATTATTATTATTAATATTATTATTATTATTTAAGATGGGGGGGAATGTCACCTGGTGATTTTCAGTGCATAGGTGCCAGCTCCCTGGGTCCCTGAGCACCCACCCAATTCCCCATTAAGAGGCCGGGCACCCACATATTTCGGTGCCAGGGCAATGTACGCTGCATGGCACCCACAGCCCCGGGGACCCATAGTCGTGGGGTGAAACTGGCACAACCGGTTCCGTGTTCCAATCAGGTTGCATGGGGGGTGGGGGGAGAGCCCTTCTCTGGTTAGTTTGAGGCAGCAAATATTTCCCCCCCCCCCGGATGCTGGTTTATCTCTGCGCTTCAAAGAGGAACTTGCAATGCAAAACCTGTTGCGGGGAGGGGGACCCCACTTTGCAGCAGGGTGGCCCTTATCACGCCTCACACACCCCCCCCCGCTGATTCCCACAGGAAAAGGGCGAGACCCCTCCTTGCTTTCCTTTCACTCCCCCCCATCCTCCCGCCTCCTTTCCCAGCTGCCCTGTTTGTAGATTCAGGGAGAGGGGAAGCAAATCCTTCTCCCAACCCCCATCCCCAAATAACCCCCCCCAATGAGGATGGAGACCCTCTCCCCTCCAAATTGCTGCCCCCCTTTGCAGCCAACTGCACATTGCCTCTCCTAATTCCCAGAGGGAATTGCTTTCATCCCCCCCCCGCCCGCCCTGTTTGTAGATTCACAGGGAGGAAATGCAAATTCTTCTCCCTCCCTGCACCCCAAATCACCCCCCCTTCCCGAAATGTTGCACCTTTCCCCTCCTCCTTTGCAGGCCTCCTTCTCTTCCGGGGACGTGCATGGAGACCCCACCCCTCAACATTGCCTCTACCCCCCCGCCCTGCTCCGTCACTTCCTGCCTCTCTAGGAAGCGAGTTCATTGACCCAGGGGGACGGGGGTGGGGCAGGAGATTGCCCCCCCCCCCATGGAAGCAGAGTCCTAGGAATGTAGTGGGAAGGACGCCCCCCCAATGGAGCCCAGTGTCCCTCAGCCTTTTTCCGACCATGGCCCCCTCCCGACATTCTTTTCTTCCTGTGCCCCCCCCCTTCTGCCGGTAGAAAGGTAGCTATTTAAATGTTTTGCTTGTAAATTTATAGTTTTTATTTATAAATCCAATGTGAAGCACGGGCACTTCTCTGCTTTCTTTTCTTCACTTCCCACCTTGTGGCCCCCGAGTATCGTGCTGTGCCCCCCCCCATTTACACGACCTTCACCTGTGACCCCCTTGGAATATCCATCTCCCCCCCGCCCATTTAGAAACGCTGTTCTAGTCTTTAACTACCTGGGAGTAAACCCCATTGAATTCGGTGGGCGCTGACTTCTGAGTAAAACTCTTGTGCAATCCTAAGGATTTTTACTCAGAAGTCATTCCCACTGAGCTCTATAGAAACAGGTTTTCCCAACTGGCCAACCTGTTTTTCAAAAGCGAAGTCATGGAGCCACACATATGAAACTTCCCCTGTCTCTTCCATAGTTTCTGTTGTGTGAATGGTGCTGCGGACCCCCTGGGGGGGGGGAAGGTTCCCTGGAGTGGGCAAACTACCTATTGGGAAAAGCGCTCTGATTTCAGGAGCCGGACTGAACCTTTCCCCACATTGTACACCCCCGTATAGTTTCTCCCATGGGTGTCACACACCTGCTTAATTTGAGATGCTCCCACAGTCCCCTGTGCCGCCTTCCCATGTCATGCAAAACATGCAGAGAGGAGTTAGGTCTTTCCTGGTTCTCCCACTTGTGATAGGAATTTTATGGTCTTAAATATATGGTAATGTTCATAAGTGTACCAGCCATGTACATACATAGATCATCACAGGAAGGCCAACCTGGAACCATTTTGATTCCTAAACTGACCAAATCTTTTCTCTGCAAGGTCAAAATAGAAAAGCCTCCCCATTGTCTTTTCCTTCACAAATCCTGTCTTAAGGGTATGTCTGTGTTTTGAATAGGGTGTGAGCCTGTGACCTGGCTCAAGAACTAAGTATTTACCATTACAAAAGACTGGCCAGGCTACCCAGGAAATCCAATCAAGTAACCTGCCAGACAGGAGATAAACAACAACAGGAGAAAAACAATATTAAAATTTCTGTTTTAGACTGCCTTTTCTGTGATGTAGGTGTGATGTATCTGAGGGGTGGTCTTAGGTTACACCCCTTCTGTGATGTATGTATGATGTTTCTGGGGGTAGTCTTGATCTACAGGGTGGCAATTTCAAAAGTCTTTATAAGGCCTTGCACACCATTTTTCTGGGTCCCTCCTCTCTCCTGCAAGTGAGGGGAGCACCCTGTTGTAACAGATCAATAAAGGCCAAGCCTACAGGCTGCTGTTTTGCTCCAAGTAATCCTCGTTGGTGTCTTTGTTTTTTTGTCCAAGGGAGCCCTCGAATTTTTCTGTTAACAAACTAAAGGTAAAGGGACCCCTGACCATTAGGTCCAGTCGTGGCCGACTCTGGGGTTGCGGCGCTCATCTCGCTTTACTGGCCAAGAGCCGGCGTACAGCTTCTGGGTCATGTGGCCAGCAGGACTAAGCCGCTTCTGGCAAACCAGAGCAGTGCATGGAAGCGCCGTTTACCTTCCCGCCGGAGCGGTACCTATTTATCTACTTGCACTTTGACGTGCTTTCAAACTGTTAGGTCGGCAGGAGCAGGGACCAAGCAATGGGAGCTCATCCCGTCTCGGGGATTTGAACCACTGACCTTCTGATCGGCAAGCCCTAGGCTCTGTGGTTTAACCCACAGCACCACCCGCATCCCACTAAACACCCCCTTTATTCCTGCTGCCACCAAAGATAATGTCTTAGCTGAACATTTTGCCCTCCTCATAGCCAAGTATGGCAATTTATTTATAATCACATTATATAAGGGTTTCATGATTGTCCCTATCCTAATACATACATGGTTACTAATAACCCACAACATTTTATATGAATTCATTCCCAATATCAGTATATATGTCCAAACACAGTCTCCATCTATAGGCAATCCGTCCATGTGTTGCATCTTCTATTGTGTTGTCATGTTTTTATACTTCCCGTTAGTTCATCAGTATCAACCTCTTGGCAACCATTAGGGTGCAAAGAATCCATTCTTCTTGTCCTGTTGTCAACTTCCGTTTTCAGTTCTTGGAGATTGTTCAGCTGTGATTCTGAAATCATAAGCATTGGCACTGCTGTTCGCAGAAAAGAATTGGACTACATGGTTGTGAATTTCCCTCGATCTTTTAGTTTCATCTGACTTTTAACCGCTTTGAGTGTTTTTGCAATCAAGCAGTGTTTGAATTTATGAAATAAATAAGTTAACTAAATATAATTCTGTTATTCTATCTGCCTTGCATCCAAGAAAAAGGTCCCAGGTTCACACACACCCCGGCATCTGGGAGAGACCCAAAGTCTGAAATCCGAGGTTGCTGCTGCCAGTCAGTGGAGACATTCCTGGCCTAGATCGACCAATTACCTGACTCCCTAGAGGGCAGCTTCCTGTGCATTGGGGCTGCTGTTCTGTGCTTTCGGGGGGGGGGAGGTTGGACTTTTGAGGCCCAACAAAGCATACTAATTCCAAGTCAAGGTGCTGCAGTGGCTCCTGTGTGGGACCTGGGAGACCAGGGTTGAAATCCAATCCCTGGGCCACCCGCTGTGTCTCAGCCAAGCCTACCTCCCAGGGGGTTGATGTGCGGATCAAAAGGGAGCTGGAGAAGCGTCCAGGTCACCTCTACTTCCTTGGAGGAAAGGCGAGATACAAAGCAACAATTGCTTTTCTAAATTAATGTACAACTTTACATTGAAACACCGGAATATCACACACACGGAATGAAAGTAAATTTGTTCATCTCAAGGAAGAAGTGAACTCGAGGGAAAAACTATAGTAGGACGTACACCCATGGGTTGAATTTACAAGAAAGGAGGTTCTGACTAAACATCAGAAAGAATTTCCTAGCAGCAAGAACAGCATGGATGCTTTAGCTGAGATTCCTGTATGGCAGGGGGTTGGACTAGCTAACCTGTGGGGGCCCTTACAACTCAATAATTTGGAGATTCTATGATTTAAATGTTTTTCCCCAGGAAAGCTTCTGCACACAATGACTGGAGGAGTTTGTAAATAATACTCGTGGTTTGACTGTTGCCAGCCTGACAAGTAAAGTTTTATTTTCAACCAGTTGGGTAATGCAGATATTTTTCTCACAAATAGCTAACCAGATACTGTGGTCAATGGCATTAAAAGCCACTGCACAACCAGGAAAAAGTTTTTACCTCTGTCCCTTGCCCGCCAGAGATAGTCAACCAGCGCCACCAGGGCGGTCTCAGTCCGATGGCAGGGCCTGAAACGCAATTGGGACAAATGCAGTCTAAATGGTCCACATCCTCCAGATATGCCTGCATTTATTCTGCAACCAAACATACATTTAAATGGTTTTTTTCCATGTGAGTTTCCTGATGTCTTCTACGTGTTATACTACTAGTGAAGCTTTTCCCACAATCCATGCATTTAAAAGGTTTCTCCCCTGTGTGAATTTGTAGATGTACATTAAGGCTTCCACTCTGAATGAAGCATTTTCCACATTCAAAACATTTATATGGTTTATCTCCTGTATGAGTATATTGATGCATTCTTAGCGAATGTGTATGACGGAAGCATGTTCCACACTCCACACATTGAAATGGTTTTTCCCCTGTGTGAGTTCGTAGATGTATGGAAAGTTTTGCCCTTTCACGGAACGTCTTTCCACACTCTGTGCATTTAAATGGTTTTTCCCCTGTGTGAGTTAGTTTATGTCTTCTAAGGTTTCCACTCTCTCTGAAGCTCTTTCCACACTCTATGCATTTAAATGGTTTCTGCCCTGTGTGAGTTCGCTGATGGTTTTTAAGCTGTCCGCTATGACTGAAGCTCTTTCCACACTCCATGCATTTAAAAGGTCTTGCCCCTGTGTGAGTTCTCTGATGTCTTTTGAGTCCTCCTCTCACACTGAAGCCCTTTCCACATTCCATACATCTGTATGGTTTCTCACCAGTGTGAGTGCGATGATGTGCATTAAGGTTCTTACTCATAAGGAAGCTCTTTCCACACTCCATACATTTAAATGGTTTCTCACCAGTGTGAGTGCGATGATGTGCATTAAGGTGATTACTCAAAAGGAAGCTCTTTCCACACTCCATACATTTAAATGGTTTCTCACCAGTGTGAGTGCGATGATGTGCATTAAGGTGATTACTCAAAAGGAAGCTCTTTCCGCACTCCATACATTTAAATGGTTTCTCACCCCTGTGAGTTTGCTCATGTATACAGAGGCATCCACTTTTTTTGAAGCATATTCTACACTCAAAACATTTATATGATTTCTCTCCTGTATGAGTACATTGATGCATTTTCAGCGAATCTGTACGACCAAAGCATTTTCCACACTCCATACATTTAAATGGTTTCTCCCCTGTGTGAGTTCTCTGGTGTCTTCTAAGCGTTCCACTTGCTGTGAAGCTCTTTCCACACTCCATGCATTTAAATGGTTTCTCCCCTGTGTGAGTTCCTTGATGTTGTGTAGGAGTTCCACTCCTACTGACGTCCTTTCCACAATCCATACCTTTGAATGGTGTCTCCACTATTTCAGTTCCTTGATGTGAACTAAGTGTGTTCACTGACTGAATCACATTGTATGTTCCACAAATTTAAATGATTTTTTCGTGATTCCTAATGAAAGTAGAGATTGCTCTGTCTGTCTTCTCTATTGCTTGCATTGGCGTAGGGGGAAAGGAAATCCTGTAGAAGAGAAGAAGAGTTTGGATTTGATATCCTGCTTTATCACTACCCGAAGGAGTCTCAAAGCGGCTCACATTCTCCTTTCCCTTCCTCCCCCACAACAAACACTCTGTGAGGTGAGTGAGGCTGAGAGACTTCAGAGAAGTGTGACTAGCTCAAGGTCACCCAGCAACTGCATGTGGAGGAGCGGGGAATCGAACCCAGTTCACCAGATTACGAATCTAATAATAATAATAATAATAATAATAATAATAATAATAATAATAGATTTTATTTATATCCCGCCCTCCCCAGCCTTAGCCGGGCTCAGGGCGGCTAACAACAATAAAACAGTACAAAAGTACAGCATAAACAACACTCTAAAATCATTCATTCTAAAATTAATTAATTCAATCTACCGCTCTTAACCACACTGGCTTCTCCAAAGAAGAAACAAAAGAATATAACACACATCAAGTGCCTTTGGTACCTTCTCTTATTTTAACATCTCATACACTCTTCCTTCTTCTATGTGCCAATTGTTTAGGAAATGAAATAATGTCAGATAATAGCATTGCATCAACTTTTAATAATAATCAATTATTGTTAATAATGCAGCATGATCTAAGATACAGTGCTTCTCTAAAACTGGCAATTTAAATAAAGAGGTTCCTCACAGGAAAGGGAGCTGCTCTCCCTCCATGAACATGCCCTTTATTTCTCAGGTTCAGAATTCCTAATGACTTTTTTTTCCTAATCCCTTAAATGTTTGGTTGCAAGTCTCTTTGGGTAAGATAAAGTGACTAACAAATTCAATTAATCATAATAATGGACTACTACAGACATGTTCATCCGGTCGAGCGCGATTGACCAATAGATCATGTGAGTGATCCTGGTTGATCATTACTGGGATAGGCTTCAGTTGTGCAGCTCCCTTTGATGGGGAGGAGAGAGAAAGGGCTGGCTTTGGGGGGGGAGAGAGAGCTGCTTAAGGGGGAGGGGGCTGGCTTGGGAGTGTGGAGAGACGACTGGCTCTTCAGAGAGAGAAGTTTTACCTCCCTTTAATCCCCCCAACTGAAACTCCCCCCTCCTGCATCCAGTTAGCCACCTCCTTCCACCCACCCACGCACCCACCCCACTCCTCATTTCTCCAGTGACAATGGGTAGATCACCGCCAGTTTTTTACACTGGGAGTAGATCGCAGTCTGTTGGGAGTTGGACGTGCCTGGACTACAGGAACCCCTGAATTTCAGTAGCAATCTTCCCGATCCCTTAAATCCCAAAGACATGAGAATAAAGATACTGGTTAATACTGGAAATCTGGTAGAATAGAGAGGAGGAGTGGGACGTAGTTATCTCTGCGTAAAGGTAAAAAAAAGATATCTCTGCCTACAACCTTCATAGCAATGGGCAGGGAAGGGTGGACTGGAGGCAATGTCTCTCCACAGAAACATGGGTAAATGGGTGAAATTGCAGAAGACAAGCCAAAATTGGGTCATCCTCTCAATCCAGCAGGGCTTTTGATATATTTTTACGTAGTGAAATGTCTCACTGCATACTGTAAGAGCTTACCTCTCAATTTTCCCTTCACGTTTCTGTATTTTTCTTTTTCTAGCAAAATGTGCTTAGACTTGTGAGTCAGAGTCTCTCCTGTGTGGAACAAGTAAAAGAGAAGTGCTGTTTATGTCATATGTGATTGTCAAAGTCTTCAGAAACATTCATCTTTTGAAGCAAAAACAACAAAGTTCCTGGTGGCCCATTGGAGGCTAATAAACCGCAGCATCAGCTCATGAAATGTTACGGACAAAATTACAGCATTGCTATAAACGATAATCCCACCCCCTCCCTTTCTCTCACACACAGTGTTTGTGGAATTCTGCACTCTCACACACCTCGCCTGTAATACTGGCAATCCTTGGCCTGAATATGCACATGAATGTGTGTAAAGCCTCCAGTCACAAGCATTGTCTATGCTAATAATGGACCCTTTGTCCTTTTAAGCACCCCAGACTGTGAAGGTGCACACATTCACTGTCTTTGGGTGCTGATGGATTGTGTCTCAGCTTGCAACTCCCTTTGACATATAGAAAGGTATAGAAAGGCTGTCCATATATCTATTATACACAAATCCTGAAAGAATTTCCATAGCACCTCCAGCCATGTTTTTTTGAGTAGTGGACCACATTATCCCCTCAATTAACCATGCAGTGGAACTAAGGCTTAGAAATGAAACCCTGGGAGAGGCAGACGGGTTTTTTCTGGCTCTTCGTGGAAGAGGATTCCAGATGCAAAGACCCCCTCTGGACAGCCCTCCCTCCTTCCTCTCAGGAACTTCCTGCCCTTTCCTCTCCTCTCCTCTCCAGCTGGACCAATGGCCTGGCTTGGTGTAACGCAGCAGCAGAGTCCCGCTTCTGGAGCCCCCAGCAGCAGCTGGGCTGGGGGTGGGGGAAGGAGAGTCCAGCTTCCGGGAAGGAGGGGAGGGTGGGGAATTGGACCCCCTCCCAATTTCAGGGATCCCTCTCCCCAAGGCAGGTTTCTGGGCAGGAGGGGAAAGCCAAGGCAGCGTCTCCGGAGATTCCCCCGCCAGCGCCCAGGTGGGAGACCTCCCTTCCGATGGGCAGCGTCTCTTTCTCCCTCTGCACCCCTTTGCCAATGCTGGACGGGGCTTTCCTCCCCCAGGGATGCTTCCCTCCCTCCTTCCCCAGGTTCCTCTGCCCCCTCCGTCCCCAGTCTCTCCTGCGCCCAGAGACCCCCTTGGCACGGCTCACCCCTCGCCCTGCGCGCAGAATCCCTCTCGAGCGCACCGACCTCTCCATCCGGAGGAGCCTCCCAAGACGAGCAGGGAGGGGGGAGGAGGAGGTAAGAGACGGAAGTGGGGGAGGGAGGGGTCTCTTCCCAGGCCTCTCTAGGCATCTCGGCTCTCTCCCTTCCGTAACCCCTTCCATGCACTCTCCTTCTGTCCAGCAAGAGGCGCGCCTCGCCACACGCGCGCAGCCAGCAGCTCCCCAAGGGGTTCCTGCCAGGGGGAAACGGGGACGCGTCCCGAGGGGCGCTTGGGTTGAAAGCCATTCTCATAGGGATGGCCTTGGTGGCCATCTCAATTCCATTCCCACAAAGGTGCCCAAGGGGTGCAGGGCAGCTGAGCACAGATTGGCCAGCCAGATTGTTATAATGATAATGATGATTTTATTGTTTGTATGCTGCCCACCTCAATAGGTTTCCCCAGCCACTCTGGACAGCTGCAAAAAAAGAAGCAAAAACTTCCCTAACTGGTTTGCCAATGGGTGCCAATGAACTTCTTTTAGGACTGGTGTTATATGGTCCCTGAGGCCGCTCCCAGTCACCAGTCTAGTTGCCGCATTCTGGATTAGTTGCAGTTTCCGTGTCACCTTCAAAGGTAGCCCCACGTAGAGCCCATTGCAGTAGTCCAAGGATAACCAGAGCATGCACCACTCTGGCCGGACAGTCTGCGGGCAGTGAGGGTCTCAGCCAACATACCATGATAAAATAAATGATTAAGTTACTTTTATTATTAAACCTTTAGAAGACATCTGAAGGCAGCCCTACATAGGGATGCTTTTTAAGGTTTAAGGTTTCATTATGTATTCATAAGAGGCTGGGTTGAAATAAATTGTTCTTGTTGTCCTTGTTACACCTTTTAAGGAGAAAAAGAAACGTGTCTGATTCTTCAAAGAGATGGTGCAATGCAGACCCTGCAGTTGTGGGTTCCTTGCTTGGCAACTGGACTGCGTGCATCCAGGTCCCTGCTAATGGGTCCCATGAAAGGTGCTTTTTGGGGGGGGTGGAGAGGTCCCTTTGTCTTTTTCTCCCCCTCCTCCCTCTCACCACCACCTTCCCACATGCAGCATCTTATTTTTGTCCTCTGTTGCCACACAATTCCCTTGCTCACTTTTCCAGTTCCCCTTATTGCAATTTATAGACGCGGGCAGAATGTCCACTGTCACCCCTCCTCTCCTTTCCAACACGCCCCCTCCCCACTCCCAGGGGCTCCTTTTGTCCAATTGCCCAGGAAACATCTGATTTAGGGGGAACACTTCAGGTTTGTTTTGGAACACGGGGGCCCATAGAGCTACGAGTGGGAGAGCAGCCCCTGCCTTTGTTGCACAGCGGAGGAATATTTTTGTAGAAATTTCAGCTTTTCTTAACACGGGCAAAAAGGTACTGTTGGCAGTGTTTACATAAATGCTTGCCAACTCTTTTTATAAATGCTGTGATTCAAGGACTGGGAAAATATAAGCATTTTCCCGTGACCTGCTTCCTAGAGGGAAGCAATGTTAAAAAGCGTGGGGAGAGGATGGAGCCCTGAACCACCCCCTAAGTTGAGCACCCAGGGGTCCAAACGCTCATCCTCCCCCCCCCAACATCACTTTCTGGACATGTCCCAGGACTAAGGAGCAGAACCACTGCATAACCCTGCCCCTAACTCCCAATCCTTCGATACCGTCCACGAGGATATGTTAGTATTTACAATGTCATTTCTTTGGGAATGTATTTCACAAAGCAGAGGTAGCATTGGGGAAATGAGGCGGCGCTTGTTTGGTTAATTCAGTTTGCTCTTTCTTGACGGCTGAGAGGGAGAGGTGAGAGGTGTGGGGACTTTGTGCCCATGATGACTGGAGGAGTTTGGAAATAATACTCGTGGTTCAACTGTTGCCAACCTGACCAGTAAAGCTTTATTCTCAACAAGTTGGGTAAGGTATATATTTTTATCACAAATAGGTAACCGAATACCAACGGCATTAAAAACCACGGAGAGATCCCGCAGAACCAGGAAACATCTTTTACCTTTTTGCCCGCCAGACATAATCAACCAGCACCAATCATTCCAAATCTGTTTTCCCTTTCAAAGGGACTCCAGGAAGTTCCCAGAGGTGACAATTGCTTAGCTGATTGTTGGCCAAGGAAAGCCTAATCCCATCACCAAACTTGCCAAGGGGCCAGACCTGCAAAGGAAGTTCTATTGTACTTTGGGCGTGGGACTTCAGAGGCGTTTGCCTTTGGTCATCTTATATCTGAGTCTTGCCCTGACATGTCTGCTTATGCTAATCTTGTACCAAGGACTTGTCTGGACATGTTTGCCAAGGTTGAACTAGTGTAACCTCTGTCTACCCCTCCCCTTTGGTGACATGTCAGTGATGTAGCAATGATGCTGTACGAACTGTATTCTGGGACATGGTGGGAAAGTTCTAAAAGTCTTTGTCACCCCATCCTCAGAGTTCAAAATTCCTCTTTGAACCTATTGCACAATAAACTCTGGTCTACAGCCATTTGCTCCGGTTGGTGGCTGGACTCCTTCCTTTATTCCGCAGGGACCCGTGGGCTCTGCCCAACCAGCTGGGTGGCTGAGCAGCCTCACACCTAGACAGCGGCAAAAGTCTTGTTAGCACAAAGATGGAAGAATGAGGAAATCCCAACGAAAGAACAATGGGAAGAAAAACTGATGAGATGTGCGGAATTTTTCCAAGCTGACATATCAACTGCGTGACAGGGACAATTGTAATTTCAAGGAAGAATGGGAACTATTTACAAACTATTTAAAAAGACAACAAAAGGATTTGGACTCCTTGGCAGGTTTTGAATAAACATCCACAAATTCATTAGTAGAACATATGATAGATAATGTACAATGATATGTACAATTTTATAACATGCAGAGAATAATATGTACTGTATAAACAAATCAGAGAGGGGAGCTGAGGGAAGTCTCTGGAAGGGGGGAGAGGGAGGGAGTTATATTGATCTATAAACGTGATTAAAAGTGATTAATTTTGTTTATTTTTTTAAAAGCCACTGAGAGATCCAGCAGAACCAGGAAACAGCTTTTACCTCTATCCCTAGCTCGCCAGAGATAATCAACCAGCACCACCAGGGCGGTCTCAGTCCGATGGCAGGGCCTGAAACCCAACTGGGACAAATGCAGTCTAAATGGTCCACATCCTGCAGATATGCCTGGATTTATTCTGCAACCAAACATACATTTAAAGTGTTTTTCCCATGTGAGTTTGCTGATGTCTTCTAAGCGTTGTACTACTGGTGAAGCTTTTCCCACAATCCATGCATTTAAAAGGTTTCTCCCCTGTATGAGTTTGTAGATGTACATTAAGGCTTCCACTCTGAATGAAGCATTTTCCACACTCAAAACATTTATATGGTTTCTCTCCTGTATGTGTACATTGATGTATTTTCAGCGATTCTCTATGACGGAAGCATGTTCCACACTCCATGCATCTAAATGGTTTTTCGCCTGTGTGAGTTCGTAGATGTATGGAAAGTTTTGCTCTTTCACGGAACGTCTTTCCACACTCTGTGCATTTAAATGGTTTTTCCCCTGTGTGAGTTAGTTTATGTCTTCTAAGTGTTCCACTCTCTCTGAAGCTCTTTCCACACTCTATGCATTTAAATGGTTTCTGCCCTGTGTGAGTTCGTTGATGGTTTTTAAGATGTCCGCTTTGACTGAAGCTCTTTCCACACTCCAGGCATTTAAAAGGTCTTGCGCCTGTGTGAGTTCGCTGGTGTATTCTAAGGGTTTCACTCTGACGAAAGCTCTTTCCACAATCCATACATCTGAATGGTTTGTCCCCGGTGTGATTTCGTTGATGTACAGTAAGCTTTTCCCTATCCCTGAAGCTCTTTCCACACTCCATGCATTTAAATGGTTTCTCCCCTGTGTGAGTTTGATGGTGTCTTCTAAGTGTTCCACTGTCTGTGAAGCTCTTTCCACACTCCATGCATTTAAATGGTTTCTCCCCTGTGTGAATCCTTTCATGGATTCTTAGTTTTCTGCTATCACTGAAGCTCTTTCCACACTCCAGACATTTAAATGGTTTCTCTCCTGTGTGAGTTCGCTGATGTTTTCTAAGGGCTCCGCTCCCACTGAAGTCCTTTCCACAATCCATGCCTTCAAATGGTGTCTCCACTGTTTCACTTCATTGACGTGAACTAAGCGTTTTCACTAACTGAATCGCATTATACATTCCACAATTTAAATGGTTTATTTGTGATTACTAATGAAAGTACAGATTGTTCTGTCTTTTCTATCGCTTGCTTCTGAGTAGGGGGAAAGGAAATCCTGTAAAGAAGAGAACAGAGGAATATAACACACATGAAGTGCCTTTGGTAACTTTTCTTATTTTAACATCTCATACATTCTTCCTTCTTCTATGTTACATTTTTTTAGGAAATGGAATAATGTCAGATTATAGTAGTAGTAGTAATAATAATAATAATAATATATTATTTATACCCATCCATCTGGCTGGGTTTCCCCAGCCACTCTGGGCGGCTTCCAACAAAATATTAAAATACAATAGTCTATTAAACATTAAAACCTTCCTTAAACAGGGTTGCCTTCAGGTGTCTTCTAAAAGTCTGGTAGTTGTTTTTCTTTTTGACATCTGGTGGGAGGGCGTTCCACAGGGCGGGTGCCACTACCGAGAAGGCCCTCTGCCTGGTTCCCTGTAACTTGGCTTCTCACAGCGAGGGAACCGCCAGAAGGCCCGCGATGCTGGACCTCAGTGTCCGGGCTGAACAATGGGCGTGGAGACGGTCCTTCAGGTATACTGGACTCAGGCCGTTTAGGGCTTTAAATGTCATCACCAACACTGTTTATTGTGCTCAGCTCAGAAACATACTGGGAGCCAGTGAAGATCCTTTAGGACCTGTGTTGTATGATCTTGGCGGCCACACCCAGTCACCAGTCCACCTGCCACATTCTGGAATGTAGATTCTGAGTCACCCTCAACCACATAGAGCACATTGCAGTAGTCCAAGTGGGAGATAACCGTCTAGAGGGGCTGGGAGCTGGGGGCACTGTCATACAGTGGTTCCGCTCCTTCCTCCTGGGCCGTGTCCAGAAAGTGGTGGGGGGGGATGAGTGTTCAGACCCCTGGGCTCTCACTTGTGGGGTGCCTCAGGGTTCTGTCCTCTCCCCCATGCTTTTTAATATCTATATGAAGCCGCTGGGAGAGATCATCAGGGGGTTTGGACTGGGTGTTCATCAGTACGCAGATGACACCCAGCTCTACCTCTCCTTTAAATCAGAACCAGTGAAGGCGGTGAAGGTCCTGTGTGAGTGCCTGGAGGCGGTTGGAGGATGGATGGCGGCTAACAGACTGAGGTTGAATCCTGACAAGACAGAAGTACTGTTTTTGGGGGACAGGGAGCGGGTTGGTGTGGGGGATTCCCTGGTCTTGAATGGGGTAACCGTGCCCCTAAAGGACCAGGTGCGTAGCCTGGGAGTCATTTTGGACTCACAGCTGTCCATGGAGGCGCAGGTTAACTCTGTGTCCAGGGCAGCTGTCTACCAGCTCCACCTGGTACGCAGGCTAAGACCCTACCTGCCCGCGAACTGTCTCGCCAGAGTGGTGCATGCTCTAGTTATCTCACGCTTGGACTACTGCAACGCGCTCTACGTGGGGCTACCTTTGAAGGTGAGCCGGAAACTGCAATTAATCCAGAACGCGGCAGCTAGACTGGTGACTGGGAGTGGCCGCCGGGACCATATAACACCGGTTCTGAGAGACCTGCATTGGCTCCCAGTACGTTTCCGAGCACGATTCAAAGTGTTGGTGCTGACCTTTAAAGCCCTAAACAGCCTCGGTCCTGTATACCTGAAGGAGCGTCTCCACCCCCATCATTCAGCCCGGACACTGAGGTCCAGCGCCGAGTGCCTTCTGGCGGTTCCCTCATTGCGAGAAGTGAGGCTACAGGGAACCAGACAGAGGGCCTTCTCGGTAGTGGTGCCCGCCCTGTGGAACGCCCTCCCATTAGATGTCAAAGAGATAAATAATTACCTGATATTCAGAAGACATCTTAAGGCAGCCCTGTTCAGGAAAGTTTTTAATATGTAACGCTGTACTGTTTTTAACACTGATTGGGAGCCGCCCAGAGTGGCTAGGGAAACTCAGCCAGATGGGCGGGGTATAAATAATAAATTATTATTATTATTATTATTATTATTATTATTATTATTATTATTATATAGCATGCACCACTCTGGGGAGACGGTCTGCAGGCAGGTAGGGTCTCAGCCTGCGCACCAGGTAGAGCAGCTAGACAGCTGCCATGGACACAAATTTGACATGTGCCGCCATGGATAACTGTGAGTCTAAAATGACTGCCAGTTAACAAGCTAAAAGTGGGTCATTGTATCGATCTAGCAGGGCTTTTGATATGTTTTTACGTAGTGAAATGTCTCACTGCATACTGTAAGAGCTTACCTCTCAATTTCCCCTTCACGTTTCTGTAATTTTCTTTTTCTAGCAAAACGTGCTTAGACTTGTGAATCAGAGTCTCTCCTGTGTGAAACAAATAAAAGAGAAGTGCTGTTTATGCCATATGTGACTGTCAAAGTATTCAGAAACATTCATCTTTTGAAGCAAAAACAACAAAGTTCCTGGTAGTCCATTGGAGGCTAATAAACCTATAACGGCCTAAACATTTGTGGACAGCAGGCAAATGTAGCGGATTGCGGGCCAGGAAAGCTCACGCCATCATTAACCTGTGAGTTTCTTTGTGGGTTTTGCATGGTTGTTTTGGAATTCCCACCACAATATCAGTTCATCAAATGTTATGGACAAAATTCAGCATTGCTATAAACGATAATCCCACCCCCTCCCTTTCTCTCACACACAGTGTTTGTGGAATACTGCACTCTCACACACCTCGCCTGTAATACTGGCAATCCTTGGCCTGCATATGCACATGACTGTGTGTAAAGCCCCCAGTCACAGGCATTGTCTATCCTGATAATGGACCCTTTGTCCTTTTAAGCACCCCAGACTGGGAAGGTTGCATGTATTTACTGTCTTTGGGTGCTGATGGATTGTGTCTCAGCTTGTAAATCCCTCTGGCATCTCCTAAACCAAAAAAGTTACAGAAAGGATGTCCATATGTAAATTATACACAAATCCTGAAAGAATTTCCATAGCACCTCCAGCCATGTTTTTTTGAGTAGCGGACCACATTATCACCGCCTATTAACCATACAGAGAGAACTGACACTTAAAACTGAAACACTGGGAGAGGCAGACGGGTTTTTTCTGGCTCTTCGTGGAAGAGGATTCCAGATGCAAAGACCCCTCTGGACAGCCCTCTCTCCTTCCTCTCAGGAACTTCCTGCCCTTTCCTCTACTCTCCAGCTGGACCAAGGGCCCGCCTTGGTGTAACGCTGCTCTACCTTCTGGAGCCCCCAGCAGCAGCTGGGCTGGGGGTGGGGGAAGGAGAGTCCAGCTTCCAGGAAGGAGGGGAGGGTGGGGAATTGGACACCCTCTCATTTTCAGGGATCCCTCTCTCCAAGGCAGATTTCTGGGCAGGAGGGAAAAGCCAAGGCAGCGTCTCCGGAGATTCCCCCGCCAGCGCCCAGGTGGGAGACCTCCCTTCCGATGGGCAGCGTCTCTTTCTCCCTCTGCCCCCCTTTGCCAATGCTGGACGGGGCTTTCCTCCCCCAGGGATGCTTCCCTCCCTCCTTCCCCAGGTTCCTCTGCCCCCTCCGTCCCCAGTCTCTCCTGCGCCCAGAGACCCCCTTGGCACGGCTCACCCCTCGCCCTGCGCGCAGAATCCCTCTCGAGCGCACCGACCTCTCCATCCGGAGGAGCCTCCCAAGACGAGCAGGGAGGGGGGAGGAGGAGGTAAGAGACGGAAGTGGGGGAGGGAGGGGTCTCTTCCCAGGCCTCTCTAGGCATCTCGGCTCTCTCCCTTCCGTAACCCCTTCCATGGACTCTCCTTCTGTCCAGCAAGAGGCGCGCCTCGCCACACGCGCGCAGCCAGCAGCTCCCCAAGGGGTTCCTGCCAGGGGGAAACGGGGACGCGTCCCGAGGGGCGCTTGGGTTGAAAGCCATTCTCACAGGGATGGCCTTGGTGGACTTCTCAATTCCATTCCCACAAAGGGGTGCAGGGCAGCTGAGCACAGATTGGCCAGCCAGATTGTGATAATGATAATGATAATGATAATGATAATGATGATTTCATTGTTTGTATGCTGCCCACCTCAATAGGTTTCCCCAGCCACTCTGGACAGCTGCAAAAAAAGAAGCAAAAACTTCCCTAACTGGTTTGCCAATGGGCAGTGGCGTAGCGTGGGTTGTCAGCACCTGGGGCAAGGCAAGTAATTTGCACCCCCTAACCCGTGGATTTGCGCCTCCTAACCCTAACCCCCAGATGTTGCGCCCGGTGCGGCCGGGCCCCCCTGCACCCCCCACGCTACGCCACTGCCAATGGGTGCCAATGAACTTCTTTTAGGACTGGTGTTATATGGTCTTGGCGGCCGCTCCAGGTCAGCAGTCTAGGTGCCGCATTCTGGATTAGTTGCAGTTTCCGTGTCACCTTCAAAGGTAGCCCCACGTAGAGCCCATTGCAGTAGTCCAAGGATAACCAGAGCATGCACCACTCTGGCCGGACAGTCTGCGGGCAGTGAGGGTCTCAGCCAACATACCATGATAAAATAAATGATTAAGTTACTTTTATTATTAAACCTTTAGAAGACATCTGAAGGCAGCCCTACATAGGGATGCTTTTTAAGGTTTAAGGTTTCATTATGTATTCATAAGAGGCTGGGTTGAAATAAATTGTTCTTGTTGTCCTTGTTACACCTTTTAAGGAGAAAAAGAAACGTGTCTGATTCTTCAAAGAGATGGTGCAATGCAGACCCTGCAGTTGTGGGTTCCTTGCTTGGCAACTGGACTGCGTGCATCCAGGTCCCTGCTAATGGGTCCCATGAAAGGTGCTTTTTGGGGGGGGTGGAGAAGTCCCTTTGTCCTTTTCTTCCCCCTCCTCCCTCTCACCACCACCTTCCCACATGCAGCATCTTATTTTTGTCCTCCCTTGCCACCCACTTTTCCAATTCCCCTTACTGCAATTTATAGACGCGGGCAGAATGTCCACTGTCACCCCTCCTCTCCTTTCCAACGCTCCCCCTCCCCACGGCTCCTTTTGTCCAATTGCCCAGGAAACATCTGATTTAGGGGGAACACTTCAGGTTTGTTTGGGAACATGTGGGCCCATAGAGCTACGAGTGGGAGAGCAGCCCCTGCCTTTGTTGCACAGCGGAGGAATATTTTTGTAGAAATTTCAGCTTTTCTTAACACAGGCAAAAAGGTACTGTTGGCAGTGTTTACATAAATGCTTGCCAACTCTTTTTATAAATGCTGTGAATCAAGGACTGGGAAAATATAAGCATTGTCCGGTGACCTGCTTCCTAGAGGGAAGCAATGTTAAAAAGCGTGGGGAGAGGATGGAGCCCTGAACCACCCCCTAAGTTGAGCACCCAGGGGTCCAAACGCTCATCCCCCCCCCCACATCACTTTCTGGACATGTCCCAGGACTAAGGAGCAGAACCACTGCATAACCCTGCCCCTAACTCCCAATCCTTCGATACCGTCCACGAGGATATGTTAGCATTTACAATGCTTTGGGAATGTATTTCACAAAGCAGAGGTAGCATTGGGGAAATGAGGTGGCGCTTGTTTGGTTAATTCAGTTTGCTCTTTCTTGACTGCGGAGAGGGAGAGGTGAGAGGTGTGGGGACTTTGTGCCCATGATGACTGGAGGAGTTTGGAAATAATACTCGTGGTTCAACTGTTGCCAACCTGACCAGTAAAGCTTTATTCTCAACAAGTTGGGTAAGGTATATATTTTTATCACAAATAGGTAACCGAATACTGTGGTCAACGGCATTAAAAACCATGGAGAGATCCCGCAGAACCAGGAAACAGCTTTTACCTTTTTGCCCGCCAGACATAATCAACCAGCACCAATCATTCCAAATCTATTTTCCCCTTCAAAGGGACTCCAGGAGGTTCCCAGAGGTGACAATTGCTTAGCTGATTGTTGGCCAAGGAAAGCCTAATCCCATCACCAAACTTGCCAAGGGGCCAGGCATGCAAAGGAAGTTGTATTGTACTTTGGGCGTGGGACTTCAGAGGTGTTTGCCTGTGCTCATCTTATACCTGGGTCTTGCCCTGCCATGTCTGCTTATGCTAATCTTGTACCAAGGACTTGTCTGGACATGTTTGCCAAGGTTGAACTAGTGTAACCTCTGTCTACCCCTCCCCTTTGGTGACATGTCAGTGATGTAGCAATGATGCTGTACGAACTGTATTCTGGGATATGGTGGGAAAGTTCTAAAAGTCTTTGTCACCCCATCCTCAGAGTTCAAAATTCCTCTTTGAACCTATTGTGCAATAAACTCTGGTCTACAGCCATTTGCTCCGGTTGGTGGCTGGACTCCTTCCTTTATTCCGCAGGGACCCGTGGGCTCTGCCCGACGTGGAGCTGGGTGACTGAGCAGCCTCACACCTAGACAGCGGCAAAAGTCTTGTTATCACAAAGATGGAAGAATGAGGAAATCCCAACGAAAGAACAATGGGAAGAAAAACTGATGAGATGTGCGGAATTTTTCCAAGCTGACATATCAACTGCGTGACCAGGACAATTGTAATTTCAAGGAAGAATGGGAACTATTTACAAACTATTTAAAAAGACAACAAAAGGATTTGGACTCCTTGGCAGGTTTTGAATAAACATCCACAAATTCATTAGTAGAACATATGATAGATAATGTACAATGATATGTACAATTTTATAACATGCAGAGAATAATATGTATAAACAAATCAGAGAGGGGAGCTGAGGGAAGTCTCTGGAAGGGGGGAGAGGGAGGGAGTTATATTGATCTATAAACGTGATTAAAATGATTAATTTTGTTTATTTTTTAAAAAGCCACTGAGAGATCCAGCAGAACCAGGAAACAGCTTTTGCCTCTATCCCTAGCTCGCCAGAGATAATCAACCAGCGCCACCAGGGTGGTCTCAGTCCAATGGCAGGGCCTGAAAGCCAATTGGGACAAATGCAGTCTAAATGGTCCACATCCTGCAGATATGCCTGGATTTATTCTGCAACCAAACATACATTTAAATAGTTTTTCCCATGTGAGTTTCCTGATGTCTTCTAAGCGTTGTACTACTGGTGAAGCTTTTCCCACAATCCATGCATTTAAAAGGTTTCTCCCCTGTATGAGTTTGTAGATGTACATTAAGGCTTCCACTCTGAATGAAGCATTTTCCACACTCAAAACATTTATATGGTTTCTCTCCTGTATGAGTACATTGATGCATTTTCAGCGATTCTCTATGACGGAAGCATGTTCCACACTCCATGCATCTAAATGGTTTTTCGCCTGTGTGAGTTCGTTGATGGTATTTAAGGTATCCACTCTGACTGAAGCTCTTTCCACACTCTGTGCATTTAAATGGTTTTTCCCCTGTGTGAGTTAGTTTATGTCTTCTAAGCGTTCCACTCTCTCTGAAGCTCTTTCCACACTCTATGCATTTAAATGGTTTCTGCCCTGTGTGAATTCGCTGATGGTTTTTAAGGTGTCCGCTTTGACTGAAGCTCTTTCCACACTCCATGCATTTAAAAGGTCTTGCGCCTGTGTGAGTTCGCTGGTGTATTCTAAGGGTTTCACTCTGACGAAAGCTCTTTCCACAATCCATACATCTGAATGGTTTGTCCCCGGTGTGATTTCGTTGATGTACAGTAAGCTTTTCCCTATCCCTGAAGCTCTTTCCACACTCCATGCATTTAAATGGTTTCTCCCCTGTGTGAGTTTGATGGTGTCTTCTAAGTGTTCCACTGTCTGTGAAGCTCTTTCCACACTCCATGCATTTAAATGGTTTCTCCCCTGTGTGAATCCTTTCATGGATTCTTAGTTTTCTGCTATCACTGAAGCTCTTTCCACACTCCAGACATTTAAATGGTTTCTCTCCTGTGTGAGTTCGCTGATGTTTTCTAAGGGCTCCGCTCCCACTGAAGTTCTTTCCACAATCCATGCCTTCAAATGGTGTCTCCACTGTTTCACTTCATTGACGTGAACTAAGCGTTTTCACTAACTGAATCGCATTATACATTCCACAATTTAAATGGTTTATTTGTGATTACTAATGAAAGTACAGATTGTTCTGTCTTTTCTATCGCTTGCTTCTGAGTAGGGGGAAAGGAAATCCTGTAAAGAAGAGAACAGAGGAATATAACACACATGAAGTGCCTTTGGTAACTTTTCTTATTTTAACATCTCATACATTCTTCCTTCTTCTATGTTACATTTTTTAGGAAATGGAATAATGTCAGATTATAGTAGTAGTAATAATAATAATAATAATAATAATAATAATAATAATATATTATTTATACCCATCCATCTGGCTGGGTTTCCCCAGCCACTCTGGGCGGCTTCCAACAAAATATTAAAATACAATAGTCTATTAAACATTAAAACCTTCCTTAAACAGGGTTGCCTTCAGGTGTCTTCTAAAAGTCTGGTAGTTGTTTTTCTTTTTGACATCTGGTGGGAGGGCGTTCCACAGGGCGGGTGCCACTACCGAGAAGGCCCTCTGCCTGGTTCCCTGTAACTTGGCTTCTCACAGCGAGGGAACCGCCAGAAGGCCCTCGATGCTGGACCTCAGTGTCCGGGCTGAACAATGGGCGTGGAGACGGTCCTTCAGGTATACTGGACTCAGGCCGTTTAGGGCTTTAAATGTCATCACCAACACTGTTTATTGTGCTCAGCTCAGAAACATACTGGGAGCCAGTGAAGATCCTTTAGGACCTGTGTTGTGTGATCTTGGCGGCCACACCCAGTCACCAGTCCACCTGCCACATTCTGGAATGTAGATTCTGAGTCACCCTCAACCACATAGAGCACATTGCAGTAGTCCAAGTGGGAGATAACCGTCTAGAGGGGCTGGGAGCTGGGGGCACTGTCATACAGTGGTTCCGCTCCTTCCTCCTGGGCCGTGTCCAGAAAGTGGTGGGGGGATGAGTGTTCAGACCCCTGGGCTCTCACTTGTGGGGTGCCTCAGGGTTCTGTCCTCTCCCCCATGCTTTTTAATATCTATATGAAGCCGCTGGGAGAGATCATCAGGGGGTTTGGACTGGGTGTTCATCAGTACGCAGATGACACCCAGCTCTACCTCTCCTTTAAATCAGAACCAGTGAAGGCGGTGAAGGTCCTGTGTGAGTGCCTGGAGGCGGTTGGAGGATGGATGGTGGCTAACAGACTGAGGTTGAATCCTGACAAGACAGAAGTACTGTTTTTGGGGGACAGGGAGCGGGTTGGTGTGGGGGATTCCCTGGTCTTGAATGGGGTAACCGTGCCCCTAAAGGACCAGGTGCGTAGCCTGGGAGTCATTTTGGACTCACAGCTGTCCATGGAGGCGCAGGTTAACTCTGTGTCCAGGGCAGCTGTCTACCAGCTCCACCTGGTACGCAGGCTAAGACCCTACCTGCCCGCGAACTGTCTCGCCAGAGTGGTGCATGCTCTAGTTATCTCACGCTTGGACTACTGCAACGCACTCTACGTGGGGCTACCTTTGAAGGTGACCCGGAAACTGCAATTAATCCAGAACACGGCAGCTAGACTGGTGACTGGGAGTGGCCGCCGGGACCATATAACACCGGTTCTGAGAGACCTGCATTGGCTCCCAGTACGTTTCCGAGCACGATTCAAAGTGTTGGTGCTGACCTTTAAAGCCCTAAACAGCCTCGGTCCTGTATACCTGAAGGAGCGTCTCCACCCCCATCATTCAGCCCGGACACTGAGGTCCAGCGCCGAGCGCCTTCTGGCGGTTCCCTCATTGCGAGAAGTGAGGCTACAGGGAACCAGACAGAGGGCCTTCTCGGTAGTGGTGCCCGCCCTGTGGAACGCCCTCCCATTAGATGTCAAAGAGATAAATAATTACCTGATATTCAGAAGACATCTTAAGGCAGCCCTGTTCAGGGAAGTTTTTAATATGTAACGCTGTACTGTTTTTAACACTGATTGGGAGCCGCCCAGAGTGGCTAGGGAAACTCAGCCAGATGGGCGGGGTATAAATAATAAATTATTATTATTATTATTATTATTATTATTATTATTATTATTATTATATAGCATGCACCACTCTGGGGAGACGGTCTGCAGGCAGGTAGGGTCTCAGCCTGCGCACCAGGTAGAGCAGCTAGACAGCTGCCATGGACACAAATTTGACATGTGCCGCCATGGATAACTGTGAGTCTAAAATGACTGCCAGTTAACAAGCTAAAAGTGGGTCATTGTATCGATCTAGCAGGGCTTTTGATATGTTTTAACGTAGTGAAATGTCTCACTGCATACTCAAAGGGCTTACCTCTCAATTTCCCCTTCACGTTTCTGTAATTTTCTTTTTCTAGCAAAACGTGCTTAGACTTGTGAATCAGAGTCTCTCCTGTGTGAAACAAATAAAAGAGAAGTGCTGTTTATGCCATATGTGACTGTCAAAGTATTCAGAAACATTCATCTTTTGAAGCAAAAACAACAAAGTTCCTGGTAGTCCATTGGAGGCTAATAAACCCATAACGGCCTAAACATTTGTGGACAGCAGGCAAATGCAGCGGATTGCGGGCCAGGAAAGCTCACGCCATCATTAACCTGTGAGTTTCTTTGTGGGTTTTTGCATAGTTGTTTTGGAATTCCCACCACAATATCAGTTCACCAAATGTTATGGACAAAATTCAGCATTGCTATAAACGATAATCCCACCCCCTCCCTTTCTCTCACACACAGTGTTTGTGGAATATTGCACTCTCACACACCTCGCCTGTAATACTGGCAATCCTTGGCCTGCATATGCACATGACTGTGTGTAAAGCCCCCAGTCACAGGCATTGTCTATCCTGATAATGGACCCTTTGTCCTTTTAAGCACCCCAGACTGGGAAGGTTGCATGTATTTACTGTCTTGGGTGCTGATGGATTGTGTCTCAGCTTGTAAATCCCTCTGGCATCTCCTAAACCAAAAAAAGTTACAGAAAGGATGTCCATATGTAAATTATACACAAATCCTGAAAGAATTTCCATAGCACCTCCAGCCATGTTTTTTTGAGTAGCGGACCACATTATCACCGCCTATTAACCATACAGAGAGAACTGACACTTAAAACTGAAACACTGGGAGAGGCAGACGGGTGTTTTCTGGCCCTTGATGGCAGAGGATTCCAGAAGCAAAGACCCCCTCTGGACAGCCCTCTCTCCTTCCTCTCAGGAACTTCCTGCCCTTTCCTCTTCTCTCCAGCTGGACCAAGGGCCCGCCTTGGTGTAACGCTGCTCTACCTTCTGAACCCAAAGCAGCAGCTGGCCTGGGGGTGGGGGAAGGAGAGTCCAGCTTCCGGGAAGGAGGGGAGGGTGGGGAATTGGACACCTTCTCATTTTCAGGGACCCCTCTCTCCAAGGCAGGTTTCTGGGCAGGAAGGAAAAGCCAAGGCAGCGTCTCCGGAGATTCCCCCGCCAGCGCCCAGGTGGGAGACCTCCCTTCCGATGGGCAGCGTCTCTTTCTCCCTCTGCCCCCCTTTGCCAATGCTGGACGGGGCTTTCCTCCCCCAGGGATGCTTCCCTCCCTCCTTCCCCAGGTTCCTCTGCCCCCTCCGTCCCCAGTCTCTCCTGCGCCCAGAGACCCCCTTGGCACGGCTCACCCCTCGCCCTGCGCGCAGAATCCCTCTCGAGCGCACCGACCTCTCCATCCGGAGGAGCCTCCCAAGACGAGCAGGGAGGGGGGAGGAGGAGGTAAGAGACGGAAGTGGGGGAGGGAGGGGTCTCTTCCCAGGCCTCTCTAGGCATCTCGGCTCTCTCGCTTCCGTAACCCCTTCCATGGACTCTCCTTCTGTCCAGCAAGAGGCGCGCCTCGCCACACGCGCGCAGCCAGCAGCTCCCCAAGGGGTTCCTGCCAGGGGGAAACGGGGACGCGTCCCGAGGGGCGCTTGGGTTGAAAGCCATTCTCATAGGGATGGCCTTGGTGGCCATCTCAATTCCATTCCCACAAAGGTGCCCAAGGGGTGCAGGGCAGCTGAGCACAGATTGGCCAGCCAGATTGTTATAATGATAATGATAATGATAATGATGATTTCATTGTTTGTATGCTGCCCACCTCAATGGGTTTCCCCAGCCACTCTGGACAGCTGCAAAAGAAGAAGCAAAAACTTCCCTAACTGGTTTGCCAATGGGTGCCAATGAACTTCTTTTAGGACTGGTGTTATATGGTCCCTGAGGCCGCTCCCAGTCACCAGTCTAGTTGCCGCATTCCGGATTAGTTGCAGTTTCCGTGTCCCCTTCAAAGGTAGCCCCACGTAGAGCCCATTGCAGTAGTCCAAGGATAACCAGAGCATGCACCACTTCTTCCCCCTCCTCCCTCTCACCACCACCTTCCCACATGCAGCATCTTACTTTTTGTCCTCCCTTGCCACCCATCTCCCTTGCTCACTTTTCCAATTCCCCTTATTGCAATTTATAGACACGGGCAGAATGTCCACTGTCACCCCTCCTCTCCTTTCCAACGCTCCCCCTCCCCACTCCCAGGGGCTCCTTTTGTCCAATTGCCCAGGAAACATCTGATTTAGGGGGAACACTTCAGGTTTGTTTTGGACCATGGGGGCCCATAGAGCTAGGAGTGGGAGAGCAGCCCCTGCCTTTGTTGCACAGTGGAGGAATGTTTTTGTAGAAATTTCAGCTTTTCTTAACACAGGCAAAAAGGTACTGTTGGCAGTGTTTCCATAAATGCTTACAAACTCTTTTTATTAATGCTGCAATTCAAGGACTGGGGAAATATAACCATTTTCCCGTGACCTGCTTCCCAGAGGGAAGACAATGTTAAAAAGCGTGGGGAGAGGATGGAGCCCTGAGACACCCCCTAAGTGAGTGCCCAGGGGTCCAAATGCTCATCCCCCCCAACATCACTTTCTGGACATGTCCCAGGACTAAGGAGCGGAACCACTGCATAAGCCTGCCCCTAACTCCCAACCCTCCTAGACCGTCCATGAGGATGTGTCAGTATTTACAATGTCATATCATTGGGAATGGGACGCGAGTGGCGCTGTGGGTAAAAGCCTCAGTGCCTAGGGCTTGCCAATCGAAAGGTCGGCGGTTCGAATCCCCGCGGCGGGGTGCGCTCCTGCGGCTCGGTCCCAGCACCTGCCAACCTAGCAGTTCGAAAGCACCCCCCGGGTGCAAGTAGATAAATAGGGACCGCTTACTGGCGGGAAGGTAAACGGCATTCCGTGTGCTGCGCTGGCTTGCCAGATGCAGCTTGTCACGCTGGCCACGTGACCCGGAAGTGTCTTCGGACAGCGCTGGCCCCCGGCCTATAGAGTGAGATGAGCGCACAACCCTAGAGTCTGTCAAGACTGGCCCGTACGGGCAGGGGTACCTTTACCTTTAACTATCATTGGGAATGTATTTCACAAAGCAGAGGTGGCATTGGGGAAATGAGGTGGCGCTTGTTTGGTTAATTCAGTTTGCTCTTTCTTGACTGCTGAGAGGTGAGAGGTGTGGGGACTTTGTGCCCATGATGACTGGAGGAGTTTGGAAATAATACTCGTGGTTCAACTGTTGCCAACCTGACCAGTAAAGCTTTATTCTCAACAAGTTGGGTAAGGTATATATTTTTATCACAAATAGGTAACCGAATACCGTGGTCAACGGCATTAAAAACCACGGAGAGATCCTGCAGAACCAGGAAACAGCTTTTACCTTTTTGCCCGCCAGACATAATCAACCAGCACCAATCATTCCAAATCTATTTTCCCCTTCAAAGGGACTCCAGGAAGTTCCCAGAGGTAACAATTGCTTAGCTGATTGTTGGCCAAGGAAAGCCTAATCCCATCACCAAACTTGCCAAGGGGCCAGACCTGCAAAGGAAGTTCTATTGTACTTTGGGCGGTGGGACTTCAGAGGTGTTTGCCTATGCTAATCTTATATCTGAGTCTTGCCCTGCCATGTCTGCTTATGCTAATCTTGTACCAAGGACTTGTCTGGACATGTCTGCCAAGGTTGAACTAGTGTAAGCTCTGTCTACCCCTCCCCTTTGGTGACATGTCAGTGATGTAGCAATGATGCTGTACGAACTGTATTCTGGGATATGGTGGGAAAGTTCTAAAAGTCTTTGTCACCCCATCCTCACAGTTCAAAATTCCTCTTTGAACCTATTGCGCAATAAATTTTGATCTACAGCCATTTGCTCCGGTTGGTGGCTGGACTCCTTCCTTTATTCCGCAGGGACCCGTGGACCCTGCCCGACCAGCTGGGTGACTGAGCAGCCTCACACCTAGATTTTTCCGTAACAGCCAACAAGGCGGTCTCAGTCCAATGGCAGGGCCTGAAACCCAAGTGGAAGAAATGCAGTCCACATGGTCCATATCCTCAAGATGTACCTGGATTTATTCTGCAACCAAACATACATTCAAATTGTTTTTCCCATGTGAGTTTGCTGATGTCTTCTAAGTGTTCCACTATTAATGAAGTTATTTCCACAATCCATGCATTTAAAAGGTTTCTCCCTTGTGTGAGTTTGTAGATGTATATTAAGGCTTCCACTCTGAATGAAGCATTTTCCACACTCAAAACATTTATATGGTTTATCTCCTGTATGAGTATATTGATGCATTTTCAGCGATTCTCTCTGACTGAAGCATTTTCCACACTCAAAACATTTATATGGTTTATCTCCTGTATGAGTATATTGATGCATTTTCAGCGATTCTCTATGACGGAAGCATGTTTCACACTCCATGCATTTAAATGGTTTTTCCCCTGTGTGAGTTCGTAGATGTATGGTAAGTTTTGCCCTTTCACGGAAGGTCTTTCCACATGCCATACATTTAAATGATTTTTCCCCTGTGTGAATTCGCTGATGTCTTCTAAGGTTTCCTCTACAATTGAAGCTCTTTTCACACACTATGCATTTAAATGGCTTCTCTTCTGTGTGAGTTAGTTGATGGTTTGTAAGGTTTCCACTATCACTGAAGCACTTTCCACATTCTATGCATTTAAATGGTTTCTCCCCAGTGTGAATTCTCTGGTGTCTTTTAAAGTTTCCACTCTGACTGAAGGTCTTTCCGCACTCCATACAACTAAATGGTTTCTCACCAGTGTGAGTTCGATGATGTGCATTAAGGTGTTTACTCAAAAGGAAGCTCTTTCCACACTCTATACATTTATATGGTTTCTCCCCTGTGTGAGTTCCTTGATGTTTTGAAGGAATTCCACTCCCATGGAAGTCCTTTCCGCAATCCATGCCTTTAAATGGTGTCTCCACTGTTGCAGTGCATTGATGTGAACTCATTGTGCTCCCTGACTGAATCACATTGCACATTTCACATATTTAAATTCTATCTTTTTTATTCCTAATGAAATCTCTGATGGCCCCTCCGAATTCTGACTGCCTTCTCCATCACCTGGTTGGGAGTTGGGGGAAAGGAAATCCTGTTAAAAGGGAACAAAGCAATGGCACCTTCTCTTGTGTTAACATTTGTTTAACATTTCACACATGCTCCCTTCTCCTGTGTTCCATTTTTTTAAAAAAGGAAACCCAGCCCCCTGCAAGGCGGGAATCTTTTGCCTCACATGGGTTTCCAACTCACATCCCTGAGATTAAGAGTCTCATGCTTTACTGACTGAGCTGAGTTTAAAAGCTTTACTTCCAGGAACTTGATTTAAGTGTTACAGAAAGAGTAAACAATACATTGCCTCAGGTATGCAGGCCTCTTCTTACCCACTCTGGTCTCATTATAAGGCCCTGAGGTAGCATATATTTGCCAAAAACTAGATTTTCCACTAAAAATAATAATCAAAATTAATTCTGCCTAGGGTTTCCCGAGATGTTGCCGATTTGGCCAAATTCCCTCACGACGCCATTTTTACACCCCAAAACCAAGGACATGTGAGGAATTTTTCTGATATATGGGAATATATATATCAGGCTTACTAGCTGCTTTGCTTTTCAATATTCTCCGGTTGGCCTCTGTTATTTTCTCCTACCAATAGGGAACCCACTTAAGGACTCTATATGGGCTCTTGGGTACCCCATAAGGGAAGAAGGGCAGATTTTGTTTACAACAGGGGGCTACATAATTGATCACGACACAGCGTGCATACACCATTTGAATGGCAATGCCAATCAACTCGGGCGGGGGAGGGAGCAGCCCCCTCAAATATTTTATGGGGAGGGGGAAGGGACCTCGGCTCCCCGACAGCGCACAAGGTGGAGACGTCCCTCCGAAAGGCCACGTTTCCCGTTCTCTGTCTCCAGCCCGCCCCCCGCCAGTGCTCACTGGACTTATCTTGTTCTTGCCCCGGGGATACTTCCATGCCCCCCAGCCCCTCCCCAGCATCCTCTGCCCTCCCTGAAGCTCTCCTGCGCCCAGAAACCTCCCTTGGCACATCTCACTCCTCGCCCTGCGCACCAAGTCTCTCCCGAGCGCGCCCACATCTCCATTCGCAGGAGCTTCGCAGGGGGGGGGAGTAGCAAGGGGGGGGTCTCTAGCCAGGCGTCCCTCGCGTCCTTTAACCCTTACGTGGACTCCCTCTCTCCGTCTCTGCAGCTCAAAGGGACCCCCCCAAGGCGCACCACGGATGCGCCTCGCAGCGCGCACGGAGCCCGGAGCCCCCCGAGAGATTCCTGCCGGGGGGGGGGGCTCCGGCCGACGCGTCGCGAGGGGTCCGGAACCCGCGGAGGGTTGGGGGTCCCGGTTCGACTTCCCTTTAGGGTGGTCGCAAGTAACTGCTCTCTCCCAACCCCTCCAGCAAAACAGGAACAAGTGAAACGTAGAAGGCTCACCTTCTTCCACCGCCGTTTTTTCGGGGGGGGGCGTCTCTTTGGCTGCCGCTGCCGGGGATCGAACCTGCGACCTTCTCACTAAATAAATGAGATTACATAGAGCTTTGCTTGCGGGGGGTCAGGATTTCCGCTTGGGTCTATCGAGCTGCGCTTCCTAGAGAGGCAGGAAGGGTTTGGGGTTTTTTTTGCAGGGGGAGGAGAGATGGAAGTGGCAAAGTTTGGGGGGGGGTCTCCATGCACAGCCCCAGGAGAGAAGCTGGCCGGTTGAAGGGGAGAAAGAGGTGCAGCATATTTGGGGGTGGGAGGAGGGTGAAGGATTTGCTTTTCCTCCCCCTGAATCTACAAACAGGGCAGCTGGGAGGGGAGGGGAGGAAGGATTTGGGGAGGGGGATGAGAGGCAAGTAGGATCCGTGGGGGGGCGGGATCGAGGCAACACGGCTGCAAAACAGGGCCCTCTTCCCCCAACAGGGTTTGCATTGCAAGATCCTCTTTGAAGCTGAGAGATCAAGCCAACATCCCTAGGGGATAGGAGGGGGCGAGGTGGGGGGCTGCCAGAGACAAACCCGCCCCCATGCAACCTAACTGCAAATAGGTTGGCAGCCCCCATCTTGTGCAAGCTTGGTCGGTCCTACTCCATTCAAAGGGGTTGCAGCCCCATTCCCCCTAGTGATGCTCTGCTGAACAGCCTGCATCTCCCCTCTCACCACTGACCCCTCCTGCCCGCCCACCCCCTCCACCGCTCCTTCCAGGCTCTGCCTCAGTGGGCTTGTGGGGGGGGGTCTGCTTTGGTGCAGGGGAAACAGCTGGAGAACAGAGACACCTTTTGATTTGGAGAGCGGGAGATCTTGAAGTAGATGGGTGTGTGTGAGAGAGATAGCAACAATGTCAAGGGAAATCGGCCTCTGGAGCTTCCTTAGTAAGAAAGAGGCTGATGTGAGAAGGAGGCAAAAGGAAACAAGAATTTGCCTATTGAGAAGGGTAAGCGAATTCCAGATGATGTCTACCTTTGCCATCTGTGTAAGGTCCTGGGCCACAGGGAGGTTAGGGTGGCCTCAACCAGAGCCAGGGCTTTTTCGGCTGTGGCCCCAATCAGGTGGAACGCTCTGTCACAAGAGGCTAGGGCCTTGCAGGATTGACACCTTTCCGCAGGGCCTGCAAGAAAGAGCTGCTCCACCAGGCCTTTGGCCAAGGCACAGTCTGACCCCCTCCTTCGGTAATCCTCACAGAACTCTTGCCCAATGGTTGCCATTAATTTGACTTTGAATTGATATTAAAATGAATTGATTTTGGAATGTTGTGTTACTTTTATTGTTGTTAGCCGCTCTGAGCCCGGCTTCGGCTGGGGAGGGCGGGATATTTATTATTATTATTATTATTATTATTATTATTATTAGTCTCCCACCCTAAATAAATCTGTCTTTCTCCATTGCTCACATCAAAGACCTGCTCCCTGCTTTGAAGTGCATCTTGGCAACAGGTGAGGGAGTCCCAGAAGTGGAAGTGCAATGGCCTCAGAGGCACTGTTTGGACTGTCTCTTCTTATCAGTGGAGTGGAAAGAGGAGCCAGGCAGCTTCCTCAGGTAGGGAAAGAGCAACGGGAGCAGGGAGGAGGGAAGAGGCACAGATGGGACCACCCAGCCTCCCTCTGTGTTGAGTGGGGATGATGGGGATCTAAGAGCATCTCTGTCTTCTTCCTCTTCTTCTTCCAGGCCCTCTTGACCTTTGAGGAGGTGGCTGTGTTTTTCACGGAGGAGGAGTGGGCTCTGCTGGATCCAGGCCAACGAGCTCTGCACAAGGGAGTCATGGAGGAGAATTATGAGATGGTGGCCTCTCTAGGTAACGGCAGATTTTTATTCCTCTTGGCTGTTAGACGTTGGAGGTGTGAATCTGCTGTTTGAACCATTCATTCATGCCGTGTAGGAACAAGCAGTAACCATCGAAAGACCTCTTCTCAAAGCAGTTGTCTTCTATTCTTTGTAAACCACCCAAGTTAATGGCCATCACTGCCCCCTGTGGGAAAGTTCCCTAGTTTAACTATTCACTCTGTTTGGAAGGACCTACAGTGGTGCCTCGCAAGACGAAAAGAATCCATTCCGCGAGTCTCTTTGTCTTGCGTTTTTTCGTCTTGCGAAGCAAGCCCATTAGCGGATTAGCGCTATTAGCGGCTTAGCGGGCTTAGCGGATCAGCTGATAAGCGGCTTAGCGGCTTGGGGAAAAGGTGGGGGGGGAAGGGAAAAAACCAGCAGGAACTCGCAAGACATTTTCGTCTTGCGAAGCAAGCCCATAGGAAATTCGTTTTGCGAAGCACCTCCAAAACGGAAAACCCTTTCGTCTAGCGGTTTTTCCGTCTTGCGAGGCATTCGTCTTGCGGGGTACCACTGTACTTTTATCTGTCCTCAACCTTCCAACATTCTGTCATGTGACAAAGGTACATGAGAGCAGAAGCAGCAAAGCAGGCTGGGAAGTGCTGGGACTGCGCCATCATTTGGGCCTACTAAAGTTATTCAGGCCTAACTGCTAAATGCTGAGTCACTCTGACATGTGACTCATTCTCCTTATAAGTAGCAGCCATTTTCTCCCCGTGTGCTCTGTAAGATTTCAGTCAGAGTCAGTCTCCCCCAGTTATGAGCAGAGTCAGTATGTAATCTCAGTTGTTGTGGGAATTTATGTATAGGTTGGGGGGGGGGGTTGCACATGCAGATATCCTGCACATGCAGCCCACTACCAAAATCAGCACAATCACTTTTGTGACTTTTGTGATTTGTCCCCACAAAACACTTCGTCACAGTTTCTTCCTATCTATTCAAAGGGCCTTTGCTGCACAATACGAAATGTAAGAATTCACTGCTCAATGTACCTCTGTACTGGCTCACTGGGAAAACTTCAGAAATTCATATAGACAGGTGAGCTCAGCTACTCAGCAGCTCCTCTGCCTGAGGGATAATTCCTGGCATCCTGATACCTGAGTGCCAGACAGGTAGCCATTCCAGAAAGAACAAACCCAGATGAAGACAAAAGGGTGGGATTAACTTGGCTGGGAAACAGGGAAATGCAAATATCTTTTTTGTTACACTTGATGGGTGTTTGGTGGAGGGCAAGGGGAACCATGGGGCAGGGTCCAGGATGCTCAGATTCCTGCCACCAGACCTCCCTTTTCATGATGTAACCGTGATGTAGTTTGGAGGGGGTGTAACATGGGGATTAAAGGTAAAGGGACCCCTGACCATTAGGTCCACTCGTGACCGACTCTGGCGTTGCAGCGCTCATCTCGCCTTATTGGCCGAGGGAACCGGCGTACAGCTTCCGGGTCATGTGGCCAGCATGACTAAGCCGCTTCTGGCAAACCAGAGCAGCACACGGAAACGCTGTTTACCTTCCCGCCGGAGTGGTACCTATTTATCTACTTGCACTTTGATGTGCTTTTGAACTGGTAGGTTGGCAGGAGCAGGGACCGAGCAACGGGAGCTTACCCTGTTGCGGGGATTCGGACCGCCAACCTTCTGATCAGCAAGTCCTAGGCTCTGTGGTTTAACCCACAGCGCCACCTGCGTCCCTTACATGGGGATTAGCATCTAATAAAAGTTGGGATCTTCTTTTGTTCGGGGCTTCCATTTTGTTCCACCTTGTGGCAGGTGGGAGTCCTGTCCCGACAGACCAAGCCTACTGGCTGCTGTTTTGCTCTGGTATTCCTGGCTGGTGTCCTTGTTTTTTGTCCAAGGGAGCCCTCAGATTTCTCCGTTAACACAGTCAAACTGTTTGGAACCATGTTGCTTATGAAGAGGTTTATTTTAACTCAGTACAGCTCTTATTCTTTCACTTAAAAACTCTGCATTATTAATTTACGCTGCGCGTCACATTCAGCATAAAGGAGTTGCTGCATCCCCTTCATCGTTTTCGTTGTCCATTTCCAAACCTCCTCCAACTTTATACTTATTCGTTTGGAGGTAAGGCGGCCAGAACTGCACACAGTATTCCAAATCAAAATATTAAAATGCTAAAAAGCCAGTTTGCAATGTTAATAAATCAAAAAGTGGAATGGAAAGAATGGAACATAAAAATTTCGAACGTGCTAATAAATCAGGAAAACGGTTGGCTTGGCAGATTAAAAAAAGAAAAGCGCAAAATACAATAAATAAAATTACAGTGGAAGGAAAATAAATAGAAAATCCGAAAGAAATCAGGAAAGGATTTGTGAATTTTTATAGACAGCAGATTTTTTCAGCAGGGGGCCGGTCCACTGCCCCTCAGACCTTGCGGGGGGCCGGACTATACTTTGTGGGGAAATGAACAAATTCCAATGTGCCACAAATAACCCAGAGATGCATTTTAAATAAAAGGACACATTTTACTCATGTAAAAACATACTGATTCCCGGACCGTCCGTGGGCCGGATTTAGAAGGCGATTGGGCTGGATCCAGCCCCCAGGCCTTAGTTTGCCTACCCATGGCTTAGAATCATAAGAGTTGGAAGGGACCCCACAGGTCATCTAGTCCAGGGACAGATGTTAAATTAACCAGCCTGTCACTTCCATTCCCTTTTTCTAAAAAGTAAAATGAAAAATTATTCCATTGGCTACTTTCCAATCCTCAGATATGTCCAAGGGACAAATTACAGTGGTGCCTCGCAAGACGAAAAGAATCCGTTCCGCGAGTCTCTTCGTCTAGCGGTTTTTTCGTCTTGCGAAGCAACCCTATTAGCGGCTTAGCGGATTAGCGCTATTAGTGGTTTAGCGGCTATTAAAGGCTTAGTGGCTTAGCTGCTAAAAGGCTATTAGCGGCTTAGAAAAAGGGGGGGGGAGCGGGAAAAAATTGCAAGACTAGCAAGACGTTTCGTCTTGCGAAGCAAGCCCATAGGGAAATTCGTCTTGCGAAGCAACTCAAAAACAGAAAACCCTTTCGTCTAGCGGGTTTTCCATCTTGCGAGGCATTCGTCTTGCTGGGCACCACTGTACATTCCGAATATAAGCTGCACCCGCAAATAAGCCGCACGTTTAAAATTCATGGGGTGGGGGAGATAAAAAGACAATACCTGAATATAAGTCGCTCCCTTAAAATTCAGCAGGCACTCACACACGTTCCATTTTACTGTATGTCTGTTTCAGCTGCAATATCATAAAAGCCATTTTTTGTAATATTGCAAATTTAAGCCGCACTTTAACTTTTCACTTTTTTTGGGGGGGGGGAGTGCGGCTTACATTTGGGCCAATATAAGCTCCTGAAAAAGGCTAACTACAGTGGTACCTCTAGTTACGAACTTAATTCATTCCGGAGGTCCGTTCTTAACCTGAAACTGTTCTTAACTTGAGGCGTGCTTTCGCTAATGGGGCCTCTTGCTGCCGCTGCACCACCAGCACACGATTTCCGTTCTTATCCTGGGGCAAAGTTCTCAACTTGAGGTAACTCTTCCAGGTTAGTGGAGTTTGTAACCTGAAGCGTTTGTAACCTGAGGTGTTTGTAACTTGAGGTACCCCTGTAGTTTATAATAATAATAATAATAATAATAATAATAATAATACATTTTATTTATATCCCGCCCTCCCCAGCCGAAGCCGGGCTCAGGGCGGCTAACAGCAATAAAACAGTACAAAACAGTACAAAAGTATTATTATTATTATTATTATTATTATTATTATTATTTTCAACACACTTTTAAGAGTACAGTCATATATTGGGTTACAGATGCTTCAGGTTGCGCGTTTTCGGGTTACGGATGCACCGAAACCAGGAAGTACCAGAAAGGGTTACTTCTGGGTTTTGGTCTGGCGCATGCGCTAAATCACACTTTACGCATGCGCAGAAGCGCCGAATCGCAACCCGCGGGTGCGCAGACGGGTTGCAAACGCTGTGGGTTGTGAACGTGCCTCCCGCATGGATCACGTTTGCAACCCAAGCATCCACTGTACCTGTTTCCCTGGAGTTTTTTTACTTTAGTTTAGCATGGGTCAGTGACAAATTTTCAAGTGATGTATCTGGTCCGGATATGTGATCCCTTTTCATTGGATCATTGAAATGTAGAGTTGGAAGGGACCCCAAAGGTCATCTAACCCTACCCCCTGCAATGCAAAAATCTCAACTCAAGCATCCATGACAGATGACCACCCAACCTCTGCTTAAGAACATGCAAGGAAGGAGAGTCCATAACCTCCAGAGAGAGACTGTTCCATTGTCGAACAGCTCTTACCATCAGAAAGCTCTTCCTGATGTTTAGTCGGAATAATATTATTATTATTTTGTATCTTGGATTTGAGTTCATATGTATATGCATTGATTTGAAATGGCTTTATATTTTGTGGCCCAAAGTAACTAATATTGTCTCTTTCCCTGAAAGAATCAGACCTCAACTCCTGTTGGGAAGAAATACAAGATCCATTTCTCCATAATCCCAAAGAAGGGGAGATATCAGCAGGTAGGTGCTTAGCTGAGACTGTAGGATATTCAGAAGCTAACTTCAGATTCAGCTGAGGAGGGAGAGAAGTAGGGAGACATGCTTGAAAATGGTAAAATCAGAGAAGCTGAGAACTGGGCCTGAATTACAATGAGTCTCTGCTTTACCTTGCAATTTGAATGGCATTTTCTTTTTCTGCCTCAAAACAGGTAATGGGCAGAAGAGTGAGAAATCTGATGAGCCATCCATGGTGTCTGTAGAAAACATGGAGCATGAAGCACAGAAAGAGACCTTTGTAAATCAACAATCAACCGAAAAGCATGTAGGAAATATGTGGAAGAACTGGAAAAAGAACTCCCTTACTACTCAGGATATTGGTGTCCATGTATCCCTGAATCCACAGGAAGAATGCACAGGAAGTAGCAGTGTAGAGTGTGGAAAGAGCTTCCGTCAGAGTGGAAGCATTAGTTTACATCAGGGAACCCAAAGAGGGGAGAAAATGTTTAAGTGCACAGAGTGTGGAAAGAGCTTAAGCAGTGCTGGTAACCTTGTCAAGCATAAAAAAACCCACACAGGGGAGAAACCGTTCAAATGCATGGAGTGTGGAAAGAGCTTCAGCCAGAGTGGAAACCTTATTGCACATCAAAGAACCCACACAGGGGAGAAACCATTTAAATGTATGATATGCAGGAAGAGTTTAAGTCTCAATCACCATCTTATGTTACATCAAAGAACCCATACTGGGGAGAAACCACATACATCCATGGAGTGTGGAAAGAGCGTCTGTTCGAGTAGTGTCCTTATTGTGCATCAAAGAACCCACACCGGGGAAAATCCATTTAAATCTATGTTGTGTGAAAAGAGTCTCAATCACCATCTTACTTTACATCAGAGATCCCACACTGGGCAGAAACTGCATAAATGCAGGGAGTGTGGAAAGAGCTTCAGTCATAAGAGTAACCTTAGCTTACATGAAAGAACCCACACTGGGGAGAAACCATTTGAATGTATGGTGTGTGGAAAGAGCTTTAGCCAGAGTGGAAACCTTACTGCACATCAAAGAACCCACACAGCAGAGAAACCATTTAAATGTATGGTGTGTGGGAAGAGTTTCACTTTTAGTCACTCTCTTACTTTACATCAAAGAACCCACACCGGGGAGAAACCGTTTGAATGCATGGAGTGTGAAAAGACCTTTAATTGTAGGAGTGCACTTACTGTACATCAAAGAACACACACTGGGGAGAAACCATATGAATGCATGGAGTGTGGAAAGACCTTTCGTCGTAGGAGTAACCTTACTTTCCATCAAAGAGCCCACACCGGGGAGAAACCATTCAAATGTATGGAGTGTGGAAAGAGCTTCAGACATAGCGGAAGCCTTACTGCACATCAAAGGACCCACACTGGGGAGAAACCATTTCAATGTATGGAGTGTGGAAAGAGTTTTAGTCTCAATTATTATCTTACTTTACATCAAAGAACCCACACTGGGGAGAAACCATTTTTATGCATGAAGTGTGGAAAGAGCTTCACTTGTAGGAGTGTGCTTACTGTACATCAGAGAACCCACACTGGGGAGAAACCGTTTGAATGCATGGAGTGTGGAAAGGGCTTCAGTTGTAGGAGTGGACTGACTGTGCATCAAAGAGCTCACACAGGGGAAAACCCATTTCAATGCCTTGAGTGTGGAAAGAGCTTCCATCGTAGGAGTAACCTTACTTTACATCAAAGAACCCACACTGGGGAGAAACCATTTAAATGTATGGAGTGTGGAAAGAGCTTCAGCCAGAGTGGAAACCTTGCAACACATCAAAGAACCCACATAGCAGAGAATGGAGCATGAGAAGAGCTGCAATGTACTATGATGTAAGGTTTTGTTCCTGCTTGGTGAGAAAAAACTGTCAGCAGTGAAGCCTAATGGAACCGAACTGCCAAAATTACAATGTATGGCAGCTGTGTTTCATCTTAGAGTTATGCAAAGTAATCAATGCCCATTCATAGCCGCCATAATTGATTATAAGGGGGAAAGAAGAAATTCCTAGCACTGCTATGTTAAGTGTCTGAGGCAGTATCCTCACTCTGCCTAATGTTTGGGCTGGCCCTGTTTGAAATTTGGAATGGGGCACAGATTTGGTGTAAATCCAAGTGGTGGAGAAGGAGAGAAGACAAAGCGTAGCTACTTGGTCAGAGGTGTGGCTAAAGGCACTGTTCTACTGCCATCACCCTTTCCTTTAAGGAAAATGGTCACGTATCTCAAGTATCGCAAGGCGACTACAAGCAACGACTGATTGACATGCATTTGATATGTGCATCATGCATCGTGACAAGCCGGAAGGGGGCAGACTGGGGGGGGGCAGAGGCACCTGTGTGATGGATTCACAAAACAGGACGCTGAAAACATTTTACAAGCAGGTTTTTAACCTGTTTCAAAACCCCCTTTTTTCCTCTCCCCCTTCATAGGTTTACATAGAAATGTTTCTCTTGTTCCCTGGCTCTGTTCCCAGAAGAGAGTTTGCAACAAGCTAAATGTGCTATTGCCAAGGTCAGTTGGCCTGAGAGCGAAAGGCATGCTTTTAATTCAGATACCTTTGTTACATAGAAAATGCTTAGCTAAAAGCTTTTTTAGCCTTAGAGAAAATGAAAAGTGCAGTTTGAAAAGTGCTTGAGGCTTTGAGGCCTGGTTGGGGGGGGGAGGAATTCACAAACAGTTTTTAAGGGTAACCTAACTGACTGTCCCCCTTCAATTGTTAGTCAGGAAATGTTCACTTCCACAACAGGAAATGTCTGCTCCTCCAGACTGCTGTGCCTGCACTTTCGACCCCTTACTTCATGCGTGCAGGCAATCTTTGAAGGGAGACTGCTTATGCATTTATGATTACAAGTGGGGGCAGGGTGTACTGTGTCCAGGGCAGCTGTCTACCAGCTCCATCTGGTACGCAGGCTGAGACCCTACCTGCCCACAGACTGTCTCGCCAGAGTGGTGCATGCTCTGGTTATCTCCCGTTTGGACTACTGCAATGCGCTCTACGTGGGGCTAGCTTTGAAGGTGACCCAGAAACTACAACTAATCCAGAATGCAGCACCTGAACTGGTGACTGGGAGTGGCCGCCGAGACTGTGTAACACTGGTCCTGAAAGACCTACATTGGCTCCTAGTACGTTTCCGAGAATTCAAAGTGTTGGTGCTGACCTTTAAGGCTTTAAACAGCCTCGGCCCCGTACATCCGATGGAGCGTCACCACCCCCATCATCCAGACTAGACACTGAGGTCCTCACCTGAGGGTCTTCTGGTGGTTCCCCCACTGTGAGAAGTTGCAGGGAACCAGGCAGAGGGCCTCTTGGTTGTGGCGCCCGCCCTGTGGAAGACCCTCCCATCAGATGTCAAGGAGATAAAGAACTACAAAACTTTTAGAAGGTATTGTTTAGGGAAGTTTTTAGTGTCTGAGATTGTAATGTGTTTTTAATATTCTGTTGGGAGCCGCCCAGAGTGGCTGGGGAAATCCAGCCAGATGGGCAGGGTATTAATAATAATAATAATAATAATAATAATAATAATAATAATAATAATAATAATTTCCCCCTTTCCTCCAAGGAGGTCAAGGTGACCTCTGTGGTTCTCCACCTCCCTTTTTATCCTCACAACCACCCTGTGAGATAGGCTGTGCTGTGCTGCAGAGGGTGGTCCAACGTCGCCTAGTGATCAGATGGTAACCCTGGTCTCCCAGGTCCAACACGGGAGGCACTGCAGCACCTTGACATGGCACTAATACATTTTCTTAGGCCTCAGAAGTACAACCTTTTTTCTGGAAAGCAGCTCCAATGCACAGCAAGCTGCCTTCTAGGAAGTCAGGTAATTGGTCGATCTAGGCCAGGAATCCCTTCACTGACTGACAGCAGCACCCGGGATTTCAGATGGGTGATTCTTCCCATATGCTGATGGTCCCCTTTCCCCTTTCCATCTCTCCCAACAGACGTGGCTTCGAACAGGGGAACCAGTTGCCACTTGCCCTCAGCGCCCAACGCACTTCCTAGCCAACTTTGTTGCTTTTGCATGTATTTTGCATCTTTTTCTTTTAAATGCTAGCATAGGCTAGCATTTTATCTTCCTTTATTTTTTAAGAAGCAAAAGCACTGCTGCGTGTCGCCCTCGCAAAAGGATGGGTTCTCTGCTCCCCCGGGGGTGGACTTAAAATGTAGCGATTCGAACAGGCATGATGTGGGCGCAGCTGATCGCCATGGCGGACAAACAGGAAGTCCACGAATGTGGATATTTTAGATTTAGAAGGTCCTAAGAATAGGTTTGGATGGCATGCATATTTATGGTTCGAAAAAACAAAGATGCATAAAGCTTTTCAGAATCATACACGTATTTTTCGCTCTATAGAACGCACCCGACCAAAGCGCACACCTAGTTTTTTGAGGAGGAAAACAAGAAAAAAAAATTCTGAATCAAATGTTGTATAAACTACTGTATTTAATAAACAACCGGTATATCAGAATCATATTACAGCCATGTAAAGTGAACAGCAGTCAACAATGGCATTAAGAACCATCATCACTGTCATTAACAAATGAAGAGAGACTTTAAGGTTTGAGTACTCTTCTAGTCTTCTGTGAACCCCAAGAACTCATCACTGCTAGAGTCAGAATTTATGAAGCTCAGTTGCTCACAATCACTGACATCACTTTCTTCGCTAACTTCATGTAAAATACCATCTTCGTTTCCATCCAAAGCATTGCTAATGCCACATTTTTTCCTCTCAGTCCTCTTCCTCCCCTCTCTCAGCGAACAGCCTGCCCGCTGCTCGCAAACATTCCCTTTACTTGAATTACAGTCAAGAAACAGCTGAGCAGAGCCTCTCAGCGGTGGGCTTGGGAGGCTTTCCGTTTCCCTTTTTTCTCCCCCTCCCCAAGCAGAACAGTCCCCTTTTCCAGCCTCCTCCTCTCCATCCCTTTCACCCAAACTCCTCAGGTGACGTCTGCAATTTCTCCCCTTCCCTGCTCCCTCTCCTTTGCCCTCTACCATGACTCTCCACTCACGGGAACCTACGGTGGTACCTCTCCCTTCACCCAGCTTCTTGGTCCCCCTCCTCTCCGTCCTCAGCCTGCCCACTGCTCCAAACCTTGAGGGGGGAAAGGCAGGCTGCTGGCAGAACAGCACCCCCCACCTGCATTCAGCAGCCCAGGAGTGTGGGGCAGGCTGCCCGCTGCTCCAAAGCTTCCTGGGGCTGGAGGAGGAAGCCGAGGCTGCTGGCAGAGGAGCGCGGCTCCACCATCACCACCAAAGAGCAGTCCAAGAGCGTGCCGCACTCGGCAATTTGGCTCTAGGGACCACACATTCGCTCCATAGGACGCACAGACATAAAAAGTGCGTCCTATGGAGCGAAAAATACGGTAATAAGAAAATCAATTTTTAGGGTATGGGTATCTGTTTGAGGAAAAACCACCTAGGTGGCTTTCCCCTTTGAAGGCAATACAGTGGTACCTCGGGTTAAGTACTTAATTTGTTCCGGAGATCCGTACTTAACCTGAAACTGTTCTTAACCTGAAGCACCACTTTAGCTAATGGGGCCTCCTGCTGCCACTGCGCCACCACCGCACAATTTCTGTTCTCATCCTGAAGCAAAGTACTTAACCCGAGGTAATATTTCTGGGTTAGTGGAGTCTGCAACCTGAAGCGTATGTAACCTGAAGCATATGTAACCTGAGGTACCACTGTATCCCTGAAAAAATTGAATATGAGAAGTAATTGGCCAACATATAAAGGTCTGTTAAGTTGAAAATCACTTTAAATTAAAAGACTTTGAAGATATAAAGGAGACTCTAATATATTGGTCACAGTATTAGCAATTAAATGATATTTTTAAGATAGATAAAAAGAAAGGTTTTAGTTATGAGATACCAAGATTCCAATAACAACTTCTAGAAAACATTATTAAAATACTGTCAACAATGTCTAACTTGCTCCTGGAATGGAACACAAAAGATGAAAATGTTAAATCGGTAACGATAAATTGGGCAAAGAATTTAGGACATAACATACAGCTGGCAGATTGGGAGATTTGAAGTTTACAACATGTATGCTGAAAGAAAATGATGTATCGGTGGTATTTGACTCCTAAGTTAGCTAAAAGGTACAGAACAAGTTCAAATATCTGCTGGAAGTGTAAGGAAAAGGAAGGAACCTTTTATCACATGTGGTGGACAGGTAATAAAATCATTTTGGGAAATGGTATATAATGAATTGGAAATTTTTTTTAAATAACTTTTCTTTAAAAAAACCCAGAAGCTTTTGTATTAGGAATTATAGGTGCCAAGATCCCAAAAGAACAGACAAGACTCTTTATGTACGCGAAAACTGCTGTACGGATGCTACTAGCCCAAAGATGGAAGGAAGAAAAAATCCTGACCAGACTTTAAAGCACACTTAGAATGAATATTGTTATTAAGACCCGTGTACGGGAAGGGGGGAAGTTAGGAGATTCAGTGAATCTCAACAAATGATTATATAAATTTATATTTGTAAAAACAAAAGAAAAATTTACAACCCCCCCAAAAAACCCAAAAGATCTGAAGAGGGAAAGAACCACCAAATATCTTCAAAACCTGTAGTCTGTGGGCCAGGCATATACCTGATGCAAACTTGTACCAAGGGCAGCAGAGGAGTTCAGGATGGAGCCTCACCTGTCGTATTAAAGGTAAAAGGTAAAGGACCCCTGACAGTTAAGTCCAGTCGCGAACGACTCTTGGGTTGCGGCGCTCATCTCGTTTTACAGGCCGAGGGAGCCGGCGTTTGTCCGCCGCGCAGACTGTTTTCCTGGGT